CAAGGTGATGCAGAACTATCCATGACCGATCTTAAGCAATGTTTGATCCTTTTTGCCATGCTAATCCTTCAAGGGTCAAGATCTATTAACTTTACCAAAATGGAGTGGAGAATTCAAAACTGCTCAGCGCATGTGGTTGAAATCCGAGCAGCATCCCCAAAGAACTCTATGGCACCCCTGCGAAGCCAATGGTAACCTGTAGGCCAAATCTACGGCAACTATCCTCTGGCAGCAAAGCCGCATCATGGAATGAAAGATCAGAACAATGAGTGTTTTTTAGATTCTGTCAAAATGAAGTTAAAATACTGAGACCATGGGCTGTGCTGCTGCTACGAGGGGTCTGCAGTGATTGGCACGTTCGCCAGGACTAAGTATTGCCTAGTTGGATTCCATGACCGCCACATACTCTTCAGCCGCGCTCTCAGCCAACTCTCGGAGATTCTCTTCACAAGCACCCTCCTCCTTGAACTTGCGGACGCAATGGTTCCAGAAAGGGTACTGCACAGGGCACATCACCCCTGTTGACTGGGTTTGTGGGTACTGCATTATTTGATTGGTTTTTATTCAAAAAGAATGGTGTAAACTTTATGAACCTTGTTGGGAACTTTATGCACATTCTTGGGAAACTATAGTAAAGATTATATATGTTTTTTCCAGAGGCCATGCACATGTATATTAAACCCTAATAAGAAAAGGGAAAGATCCGGCCTCCTGTGTGCTAGGCTTTCTGGTGTAAGGACGCACAAACTCGTTGAAGGCCCTGCGGATGTGTTCCCACTTTAGCTTCCCCAAACCCTTGACTGGCCGAGCACGACGGGCAAAGCTCTTCAGGGGAGTGCGGGCAGGAGTACGGGGTGGAGTTGCAGCACTATCCTCAGGGGAACCCATTGAGGTTTCAAAACATCAACCCATTTAACTTGAAACAAGTCTTAACCTTGAACATTTAAAATGTGTACGGATTTGGCATGTTGAGTTTTGTCAAATGTCCTTTGGGCTCTTGAGGTTCTTCTTCTTGGGAGTGGTCTTTACCTTCTTCTTCGGGGTGGCCACAACCTTCGCTTTCGCCTTTCCCTTCGCCTTCACCTTTGCCTTCGGCTTCGCCTTCTCCTTTGGCTCAATTTTTTTTTCCTCATTCGGGTCGTTCTTGGGAGCATCTACCTTTGGGGTCTCATCCTCCTTGGGGTTGTCAACGGTTGATCCAGCAGGTTCAGAATCCTCTCCCTCACCTGGAGCTGACTCCTGGCCCCCACCTTCCGTCTTGGCTGCCTTCCCCCTCCCACGTCCTCTGCCCCGACCACGGTTGGAAGCAGGGCGCTTCATGGGCACGGCTCCTTTGGGTTCACTTTCATGCTCTTCTTCACCATGCTTGCGTCGAAGCTGATCACGGCGTAGTACCTTGGGAAAGATGGAGGTAGTTTCAAACAAACATAGGCAAAACTGAGGTTGATTTTGGAATCATGATGGAGGATGGTAAAGGTAGGTTGAAAGATATAATTATTGAAGTGTGGTCCAAGAATCTGGTGCAGGGGCAGGCATGTCAGAACCACTTGCCAGCACTGAACCAATCTGGCCCTCCTTGATCATATCTGCGAGCTTGTCCAAGTGATGGCACCCGAGATCTTGAGTGTCTTGGTCGGGAGTTGCTAGGATGGTATCAGGCTGGGCTGAAGCTGCTGATCCTTAAGGCTGGGAAACAAACCACAAAAAATGGGACAACCACAACAGAAACATAGCCAATAATAAAACTTAAGAGAATCAATGAACTCACCATCACAAGATTGGTCACAAGAAACAGTAAATGGGAACGGATGGTAAACAGGGGAAAATCCAAACACTCCAAAAATCCACTGGAAGAAGATGGCAACGAAGCAGAGGACTGACCACGGAGCAGGCGGGCTTTTTCTTTCCTAGGTGGTATAGGTCAATAGCTAACCCAAGGTACTCTAAGATTCGGAGGTGTGGGCATTTGATTGGCCAGTCAAAGATGTCAAAATTCATAGGAAATAAACCAAATAAAACTTATGGTGTTGTATTCTCAAAGGGGCTGAAGCTCAAGTTCCAAACCACGAATCTGGGTGTCATACTTCGTGGGTAACTTCTTTGGAGGTGGCATGGAAGAACCCATGTTGCCCTTAAAGAGTTCCTTCTTCGCATCAGCTAAGTTCGGGCTACACTCATTCGGGGCACGTGTCTCACAAGCGGGAGGCGTCTGGGAATCCTGGAAAAATTCCTTCTCTGGGGTCTGGAGATCAATCACCTGACTGGCCTGAGGCTGGGAGGCAGGGATATCATCGCCCTCACCCTCGGAATCCTCCTCTGTCTCACCTGCACCATCTTCGATAGGCTGGCTGTCCTCAGCACCCCCATCACCCAAAGTACCCATGTCAATCTCCTCCTCCATGTCACTGTCTCCGTCCTGGCTGTCCTGTGCAGGCTTTTGGGGATAGGTTTGGTGGGGCTATACTAACATGAGTTGGGTAAACTTATTGTAAGAAACAGCAAACTCTTAATGCTTCGACATTCAACAGCTTGGAAAAAAGGAGTTGGCTTGGAAACATTAAATGCTTCTGTCCTCAAGAGGGCCAGTCAAGACTTCAACAAGAACTTGAAATTCTTTGCAGCGGGATCGCTTCCGGTTGTTCAGAAAATCAGCTGCTTTCTCCTTGACACGGATGCAAAGACTTTTGCATGAACGTGCATCCCGCTTGACGCACTTCGATGTCGGGGTAGACTTGCACAAAGAATGAAGGTTCCAAATCCTTGCTTCAACATGTTGGGCTGCTTTGGGTTGGAAGTAATATCCAGGGCCCTAGTTTCATAAGAAAAACATTGTTGGTATTTAAAAAACAGGCTATAATAAAATTTCAAAACATATGTAAACAAATCCTTAGAGGACACCCCAAATGCAAATGAGATTCTCTTTTTCCAGTGCTGGGATTGAAAACAGCGAGAAGTTTCCAAACTTGTCCCGTGTTGCTGCAGCCATGCAAACCAACAAAGGTTCCAGGATAGCCCTGTTGAAGGCAGCCTCCTTCTGTAAGATCTTGGGGGCTTCTGTAGCACCATCACTAGAGAGGATGAGGCACCCTTTGTCCCTGATCCTGTTCCGGACCCAGGAATCTTTCTCCCAAACATCAGCGAGCTGGGAAATATCCACTGAAGATGGCATGGCAAATGGCCAACCCTAGAAAGCACTAGGTCCCAGCTGTGATCAAAATGCTATGGAATCACCCCATGATGTGCTGCCTCCACTGAGCATTCCAACTTCCACCCCTTGGCTCTTTGAGGTCACGGCCAGAGATCCAACGTTGGGATGGCTGCCGGACAATGGAAAAAATGCGGCTGTTTGTTTGGTCACCTGTGTGATTCTTCTCTGAATTTTGGGATAGCATGCAACATGCGGGTATCTTTACAGATCTTTAGGGTATATTTTATGGTTGAATAGGATATCCCACCAAGAAACATGATGATTCATGACCATTCTTGGTCTGAGAGCCATGTGCCTCAGCAAGGTGGCTCTGGATTGGGCATGGTTCTGGGTTTGGAAATGAATTGATTCTTTGATGGGAACCCAAATATACCCCAAACACGATTTTCGGCTATTTCGGGAAATAACCATTTTATTACATAAATCCTGGTTATTCTAAAATGGTTAAATAAAAACAGCCTTTCCAGGCCTAAGGTATATATATATATCTATATTTATAATTACAACGGAAGTCACAGCATGTAGGAGGATGTTTCTCAGTTGCAGCAAGACTGGTTCAAGCGGATCTGATCATTTTTGTAAGTATGTTGGTTTTAGAAGCATCAGCGTCCATGCCTGCTGATGTGGCCTTCAAGGTGCCGATCTACAGGCTGCGCATTTTTCGCAAGCAAGCGAGTGAGCTTTGCGGTTTGCCAGAAGCTGAAGAGGATACTCCCGCGTGGCTGAGCTTCAAAGAATCTGTGACTGAAGCGCTGCAGCTGACCGAATGCCACTGCGCTCTAGAAGGCAAGGAAGATTCCGAAGTACAGGTGCTTCGCCTGAAGCGTCTGTGCCATCTAGCCTTTGGTTGGTCGGAGATGTGGAAAGATATGGATCCGGACGAACATTTCCGGCTGCGCTGCTTTCGCACGTCTTGGCAGGCTGAGGACTTTGCGCGCCTGACGCGGCCGGAGGACGGCAAACCCTCCCACGAGGAGAAACTCGAAGCAGTTTTAGGGTACATGAAAAGTTTCACAGTGGTGCCTCTGCTTCCTGAGTGCAATTGGATTCACTCTGCCGTGGAAGCAATTCAGAGGCTCCAGGCAGCAAGCGCAGCCTGCCCTAACGCTACGAAGTGAATGTCCGCGAACTGTCCGCGTTTGTCCGCGCCGTCGAAGAGGATGCCCACTTGTCCGCGGAAAAACAGTGTCCGCGGAGCGGATATATAGCATTCTGACAAGGTTTTTGTTCGCAAACATGTCCGCGCGGCTAGAAAGGTAGCATGTAGTAGGTTGGTTGTGTCCGCGGAAGTGTCCGCGGTAGACTAAATGCTTAGAGTGGATCATGCATGTTGTCCGCGGAGTTTGGACCAAAAAACGTTGTTTTGGGAAGCTGCGTTGGCTCGAGGGTCGTAGTCTGTGGTAGGTTTCTGGGAAGGTTCTCGTGTGACTTTCAAGCCATGGCGGAGGCTGCGCCTGCACCTGCGTCCTGCTGCTGCTGCTTCTGTGGTCTCTGGTATGAAAGCACATGCGGACGCGCTTGCATGGGCAAAAGTTCCACTGCCATGCCTGCATCGCGGCAGACAAGCAGTTGAGGCGGAACTTGGGGTCCAAGAGCGAGCTTGAGGCTTTACCAGAGGAAGAGCAGAAACAGTTTTTCCGACGTTTGCAAGAGGAAAAAAAGCGGCAGGGAAAGTTTTGCCGTGGAAGACTGTCAAGGCTCAACTCATTGCCATGTCAGTCACACGTCACATCACTGAAAATTCTACGGATGTGACTACTGAAGAGCTTCCCTTGACGGTATGGCAAACTAGGGGCAGAGACTGTGAAGAACTGCCCCCGCGAGTGGAGTGAAAGCTTGAAAATCTACTTGTACAAGGTTCCGACCAAAAAGGTTGTTTGGAAAGAAGTGCGCCAGAGTGTCAGCGAAAGGATCCTTCGCCAAGAGCGCCAAATGGAGAAAGCCCGCAAGGGAAAGAAAGCAAAGAATGCTGGATCCGAGGATGACATGGATCTCCCCGAAGCGCAGGCAACGGGGCAGGAGAAAGAAAAGAATGAGCAAAAGGAAGCCAAGGCAGCTGAGGCAGCGGTGCGCAAGACGCAGCAAACCAATAGCAAGACCAACATGATGGCTGCTAAGAGCATCGGACAGCTGAGCAATGACTTGCAGTCCCTGACAAAGGCCTACAACAAGGCTTCCAACGTAACGGACAATATCAAGTCGACCTGCGAAGAAACGCAGGAAAAGCTCGCAAAATGGTTAGGTGCCGCAAAGGCGACGCTTCAGCAGGCTGAGGATGACCGTGCTAAGACCGGAGAAATCGCAATTCCGTCACTGCCCTTTGAGCTGAGTGAGGTGCGCACCTTGCACCAAACGTGCCTTGAGGTGGTCAAGAACCTGAAGCCATACATGCCTGTCCCCAAAGCGAAAGCCAAAGCTGACGCGAAGCGTCCGGCGGATGCCGGCGCCGGAGAGGGTGCGCCCGCCAAGCGCAGGCGTGGGAAGACTCCGGTATCCTGAGAACTGACGTCCGAGTTGGTCTGGACACATGCCTTGGGGTTGCAGTGTGTCGTTGACAAATACTAGCTCATGACGCTTGTGTTACTTCTGCGTCTGGTTTGGACAGAAATTCTTTAGACACGAGCGGCAGCGTTTGTCAGGAGGAGTCAAAAGAGACGTGGTGTGTGCTTGTTGGGAAAAAATCAATCTAGCCCCTACCAACACGAACGAAATCGTTTCTGCTTCGCACTGACCATGCATGCATCATGTTACAAAAGACAGGTACCACATATACAATGGTTGAAAATAAGAGGACCCCGACACTTAAATAATATTTTGTAATACTCCTTCTTTTCTTTCCAACTTGATGAGTCATGATGTCTCCAGCAAATATAACCACCATGTTGAATCTGCTCTGGCATCGATGGCTCAAGTTGCAGAAACCAAACCTTTCCCCCACATAGAAGCTGCTTCCATTTGCACTGGCAATGTACGCCGTGGTCGGCTACCAAATAACGGAAGAAATAGTTCGACTATATTGCAAAAAGAAGAACATAGGTCGCTTTCATGACATTGGCGTGTTGCTATCGGGCCGCAAAAGGTCCCTGCAAGCCATGCTTGATAGTCCACGCGACACTGAGAACCAGGTGCTTGACATATCATCCCAAGAGGATGAAACCAGCACAAAAACCAGCGATCCGCAGGAAGATGCCCTAGACATGCACAAATCATCGTAAGCTCAAGTGTCTTGCGGACAAAAAGAAACGAGAGGGGGGAAAACCTTGCATGTGCTTGCCTATGTACTCCAACTGAAAGCCAAAGAGTGTATGAGCAAAGGTAAAAGTTTGCTTAAATTCCTTTACTACGAATATTTAAGAGTATGAAGCCCTTCCTTGTGTCAGAACAAGTACAAACACTGAAATCCCAGCACAATTGATGTGCTTCAGTATCTGTAGCCATTTTGGCTAAAGCGAGATGCTGCCTCTGGCCAAAAAAAGAAGGCTGCTTGACGCTTCTCCGGCTGAACAATTTGCAGCGTTGAGAAAACTCAGTGAAGTAACCCCAGCTACGTGCCGAAAAGTTATTTCTGTCCTGAGAGAAGATGGGAAGGGAAGCAAAGTTTGTCACCGCCAGAAGCATTCTCATGTTCAGTCCTATCCATGCCTAAGACACTTGCAAGTGCCTGCGTTAGAAGAGGGAAACGTCGTTAAGTTCCCATGCATGAGTCTGCCTGCGCTGATAGAAACAAAGGTGAAATCATGCGCCCTGTACAAAGAAATGTTGCATGCGGCGTGCCAAGCGCACAACGGGGAACTGACGCTGCTTTTTTACACGGACGAGGTCACAGGAGGAAATGTCTTGAGCGCGCCTCAGGCGCGAAAGGCCAATCTGGTGTATGTCAGCTGGCTGGAGTGTCCACTGCTGCACATGGAGTCTCAGTGGCTCACGCTGAGCGTATGCCGCAGCTCCGACATTAGTGAAATGCGCGGAGGCATGGCAGCCTTGGTCACTGCTGTGTTGACGTTCATTCAGCATGAATGTGGAGACGGGTTTGCTGTGGCATGGACAGATCATGATGTAGATTTGCTACGGATCAAAAAGGTTTACATTCTGGCGGACGCGGAAGCAATTCGCAGCTGCACCGGTTGCAAAGGCCATGCCGGTCTGAAGCCGTGCCTGCACTGCGTAAACTGCATGGCTGTCGGAAAAGCTGATGGTGTGGTAGATCACTACGACATCACATGCGGAGACCTGAATCGCTTTTGGCCGCAGACAGATTCAGGCATCAGTGCAGCAGCCGACATTTTGCGTGAAGACATGACGGCCACAAGAAAAAAGGATTGTGAGAAATTCTTAGGTTGGAATTGGACACACTTCCAAGAAGGTCCTCTCCTAGCACCGCAACTAAAAGAATGGATCACAATCGACAGCCTGCTGTACGACAGCATGCACATCTTCTTCAACAATGGACAGATTTGCCAGCTGCTAGGCCTATGGTATGATATGCTGCTGCAGCATACCGGTTTGTCCCTGCAGCATGTGAAACAATATGCCTCTCTATGGACGCCGGTCCGAGGAAGTCCTGCTGCTTGCGGACCAAAGCCATCGCAGTACTTCAATGAGAAACTCTGGAAAGCCGGCGCGGATTTCCGTGGAGATGCGGATGCTGCTGCGGCCACCCTGGCCCTTGCCGTGGCCTTCTGCGAAGAAGTGCTCATGGTCGAAGAAACCCTTCGTCCTTGCATCGAATCCATGCAATGCCTGCACCAACTGGTGTGCTGCATTTGGGCCTGCAAGGTCTCCTCTTCAGCTGCAAGCAAACTGGAAGCACTACAAAGAAAACATTTTGAAGCGTATTCAAAAGCATGGTCTCAAGAAACTATGCGGCCCAAGTGGCATTATGGATTGCATGTGCAATCTCAAGTCCAAAGATGTGGCAAAATGCTGGACACATGGGCCTTAGAAAGAAAACATAAATTCTTCAAAAAGCTCACAACAGGTAACTGGGGATTTGCACCGACTTTCGCGGAGTCGGCTTTGCTGGAACTATCCACGGCCGACCTGCAAGAATCCTACGAGGTGAGTTGGTTGAACTTGTCCTTGCTGGGATCCACCGTAATTAAGAATTTACCTGGCCTCCCCGGTCCCTGCGAAATGAGCAACGGCCTAGTTGTCAAAGGAGTGAAATACATTCGAGAGCAGTACCTGTTGCTTGGAAACGGTGCTGCAGCTGCACAAGTGCTCGGAGGGATCAAAACTGCGAACGCAGATTTTTTCCTTTTGGTCGAGCTCATGGTGCCGCTGCAAGTCCAACCCAGCTACCGCACCCTTTGGAAAAGGGCAAAGGAAAATGAGCCGGCCTGCGCCCTAGTGCACCCAAAAGACTTGAATAAAAACATTCGAGTCATGTACTACAGGCTCGAAGATAGCGACAGAGTTTGGCTGTTGTGCTAGGAAAAAAAGCGCTCTGGCGGCTATTTTTGCTTAAGGCTTCGTTTTCCGAGAAAACGTATCAAAAAAAGTTAGCTAGATAAAATGAAGTTAAGATGAAGTTAACTTGAACTTATGTAACTTCAACTTAACTTCATTATAACCTCTTAACTTGCCGGGAGATCCAAAGTATATGATGTATTGGATTAATTCCGGGTACAAGTGTCAGGTTTCCGACAGGGGCGCCCACTTTTTCGACAGGCGTCCCGTTTTATGTAATAAAAAAAAATATATATATATATATATCATGGGTCTCTATGTGCCTACCATTTGGCACCTGCTAGCAAGGGTCACAAATGGAGAGTACTTATATTTTTATATCTTTCACATATGAAATATGGTATATGTCTGTTATATCGCCTCCTTTCCAGATGCCAATGCCAGACAGATACTGCGCTTCCACTGCAGCCTCGCCGGCTAGATGCAGGGGACATGTATGCCGGCGTTCAGGCATGAATACTGTGGTGATAAGGGATGGTGTCAAGATAGAACATAATTAACATATATCAATCATCAAAAATGACTATATGAACACAAATTACAATAGTGAAATCATAACATTGCAAGAATACTTTCGCCCGTGATTTGACTAAGCCATACCTTCCAAACTGTGTCCAAATGGAAAGTGTCTTGGCATTCGTGGGCTCTTCACAAGGGATAGACTTAGAATAGGGTTCCCCATTCAAAAATGATTGGTCCATCTTGCGAACTAGCACTGCGACCATTGTGTGGACCACTTCATCCAACCTTTTTGGGATATGGATGGGTCTCAGGTAATTCCTAGCCCAGGAAGCTCTTCGATGAGATGGAGAAGCGTATACCACCGGATATGAAATCTGATGATGATCTTGTACCCGGTGGTGATTTGAGGAGCAACGGAAACAACTGGCTCAGGAGTGCCTACAAGGCTTCAGGTCTAGATAAGGTTCTCCGTGAGAATAAAATCAAACAAATTGTGAAGAAATTGATGAAGAAGAAAGGAATGGGATTCTCGATCACTATTTTGGGTTTGAACGATGATGAATTTTGCAGTTTATATAAATTTATGGCATCAAGTATTGTATGATCTATTTTGAAGCATTGACCATGTGGTGGGCAACCAAGTGGATCTGAGGAAACCATTTGAATTCCGATGCCAAGGAGGACTGGATGATAAAGCAGGCCACATCATACGGTTGTTATTGACGTAGACCTTTTTTGAGTATGTAAGTAAGAAATCAAAATTAACAACATACGGAGCTCAAGATTCGATAACTAGTCTGACTTTAGTCTTGTTGTACGCCTGAGGCTTATATAGTTCACGACGTACTTCTCAAGCACAGCAAGAGAGGGAGAAGGGGGTTTGCCTTTCTCTCCCCCACATCCAGAAAGTCCTACGGGTTACTTGGCAATTTTGTTAACACAAGGAAGAAGTGGTTGATTATGTTTTTTTTTGTTCACCTCATTCTGAATTAAAAATTGCCCCCAGATCTTAGGTCATCTATGGATCAGATGGAAACCCAAATGATCGATGAAAGTGAAATCCCACCGTTGGACTTAGAAGATGTCTCTTGGCCTATCCTGTATACTTCTTTATTTGTTGGGGGGATGGAACATTACAAAGGTTTCCATATTATGTGGTGGTCAAAGTCTCAAATATCCTGTATGAGGAACCAATGCGGCACCAGCGCTATGGATGCAAATATTCCCATCTGCCCTGGTGATGAATCTTCTGAATCTGCGAAGATGACGGATAATGAGGTGTGACTTGTACATGGGGCAGGTGGAAACTATTTTTTCCATTATATATATGGTTTGCATTGGTGCCCACAAAAAAAGGTATCAAACCACATGTTGCATATGAGGCACCTCAACTTACTTTGTCATTCACCAGGGAAGCAACATGCCTCCAAATAGGAACCCTTATATCAAAGAACGTTTTTGACAATGTCCTTCATTCAACCTCATTTTTTTTGTATGTCTTACTGCAATGTCTTCAACTTCAATTCAACCTGGATGGTTTGTTATTTTAATCCAACATGATGGGAAACCAGCTTTTGGCGATCCAACCATCTTGTGGGGTCAGGCTGTGGAAGACCAAGTGGATAAAAACAAACAAGATAAATCCATGAAGGCGTGGACTTCAAAATCCCAAGATCTTATTTACGGGCTAGTCACAGCTGTATAATGTCAAATCATCATATGATAGTACAAAGGGACCGGAATTGTAAATGTTTTGCTTTCCACCACATTTTCCAAGCCCTTCTTCCTATGAGGAGGAAGCAAGGCAAGAGGAAAAAGGACAGGAGGATCAGACTTCAAGTGAGGAGGATTGTGATAACGAAAAAAGTAGAGAAACGCTGAAGAAGGAAAGGAATGAATGCAAGATTTAATTAAGATCAAATCGTGTTTCAATGCTTCATGATCTGTTTGCGTTTCCAGGTCAATGGTGCACGGCTTAACTCGAGAGTTGATTCTCTACCTTTGAGGCCTAGAACAATATCTTTTGAGGGAATTAAATCTTGAGTTAATTCTGTTCATATTGGCTCTGATACCTCCTGCTCTTTCTTCCCTCTTCTTCTCTACTCTGCTTGTATTTATTCTTCCCTTCTCTTTTCAACTTTTTTGTTTCTCCTTTACCTTCTCCATCCTTCTGATTCTTTCCTTTTCTCTTCTCTACTCTTTTCATGTAGTGTCTCTAAGTGCACTTGCCCGAAGTTTGACTGTAATTGTTGATATAGGATCTCTTTTGAAGGAATTAAATCTTGAGTTAATTCTTTTGTATTGGCTTGGATCCTCTGTGCTCTGTTCAACCCTCTGGCTGCTCTCTATCTTCTTCATGATTATCTTCGAGGGTGTAGCCTTGTGAAACCATTGGCCTCTCGACTGAACGGCAACGTCCACGCAGCAGCCACTGATTTTTTTCAGTGAGAAGACAGGCAGTTAAGCCAGCTCCGTAGCGACGTAGTGCTTGTCCATCATCAAACTGATGGTGGCTTTGGGTCCCCAAATTTCTTTGCTGATGGTAGCGGGTGGCGTCGAGCAAGGCAAAGCGAAAACGTTTGGGGCAGTGTGAGTGGTAGCTGCAGCGTCCCAGGTACGTGTTCCGGCCCCGATCACTGGATGACGTCAAAGGATGACACTGCCTGCCAGTCGAAGTCAGCCATTGCAACGCTCTATGGCGAAGAGATAGATTTTCGACCTGAACAACTTCCAGCTCACGCCAAGGAGGCAGTTGCCGCCCCGCTTTGCGGGGAGCCACTGCCACCACAGCCATCATCTGAAGCCAAAACTCCCATGAGTGGCAACCAAATGACATGAAGGAAATGAACCCGGGATTTCCCAATGAAAAGGACTTAAATCAAGATTTAATGCCCCAAAATGAAAGCCGCACACCATAAAAAAGAGTTGAATCAAGATTTAATTCCCCACAGATGGATACCTCCCCCTGGAATCTCCAGATGTCGTCATTAGCAAAGAATTAAATCAGAATTTAATCCTCCCAAAATGATCCAGCAACAAAAGGGATTAAATCTGGAGTTCACAGCTGGCAGGGACAGGTTGAAGTGTATCTGATGGTAACGGTTTAGATCGTGATTTAATTGTAATTGCGTACTGGAATCCACTCCTTTTGAGAAGGAAGAGAAGACGACAGAAGAAGAACCGAGTGAAGCTGAGACAGATGAGAGAAATGCAGAAACTGCAGAGGACAAAGGTGAAGCGGAGGAGGACGAAGAGAGCGAAGATGAAGACGAAGAGACAGCACCCAAGAAGGACCAGATGGAGGAAAGCCAAGATGAGAGCGATGATGAGCTGGAAGACGAAAAGAGGAGAAAGACCAAGACGAAGAGAAGAAGGAAGACGGAGAAGATGAGGAGGATGCAGAAGACGACCTTGAGGTTGGGTCACCCCAGAACGATGGCAAGAAGATGGAAGAGAAGAAGATGGAAGAGCAGAAAGATGAGGAGGACGAAGAGAGTGAAGATAAAGACGAAGAGACAGCACCCAAGAAGGACCAGATGGAGGAAAGCCAAGATGAGAGCGATGATGAGCTGGAAGACGAAAAGAGGAGAAAGACCAAGACGAAGAGAAGAAGGAAGACGGAGAAGATGAGGAGGATGCAGAAGACGACCTTGAGGTTGGGTCACCCCAGAACGATGGCAAGAAGATGGAAGAGAAGAAGATGGAAGAGCAGAAAGATGAGGAGGACGAAGAGAGTGAAGATAAAGACGAAGAGACAGCACCCAAGAAGGACCAGATGGAGGAAAGCCAAGATGAGAGCGATGATGAGCTGGAAGACGAAAAAGAGGAGAAAGACCAAGACGAAGAGAAGAAGGAAGACCGAGAAGATGAGGAGGATGCAGAAGACGACCTTGAGGTTGGGTCACCCCAGAACGATGGCAAGAAGATGGAAGAGAAGAAGATGGAAGAGCAGAAAGATGAGGAGGACGAAGAGAGTGAAGATAAAGACGAAGAGACAGCACCCAAGAAGGACCAGATGGAGGTAAGCCAAGATGAGAGCGATGATGAGTTCGAAGACGAAGAAGAGGAGAAAGACCACCACGAAGAGAAGAAGGAAGATGGAGAAGATGAGGAGGATACAAAAGACGACCTTGAAGATGGGTCACCTCAGAAGGATGGCAAGAAGATGGAAGAGCAGAAAGATGTGGACCAGGACATGGAGGAAGACGATGGAGGAAAAGAAGATGATTCATCGTCAAGCTCCGAGAGCACAAGTTCATCCACATCGTCACCCTCAGACACAAGCAGCAGCAGCAGCTCACCAAAGAAGAACAAGCCAGACAGCTTGACAAGATGTGCAACAGAGGCAGCTGCTTTGGCCGACTTGGATGCTGTGGGACTTCAAAATTACTGGTTGTATTGCCGTGGTGATCATCCAGATCAAATTGTTCAAGAAGCTCTAAGACGTATGGAAACCTGGGATTACACCAAGCCCATCTCAAAGAACGTTGTAAAACAAACAGAGCGTGAACTTGCAAAACTACTCCAACAGGCGAAAGAGTCCGAGAAGAAGCCGAAGGCAAAAGCAACAGCAAAAGCAAAGACCAAGCCGACAAAGAAGACCAAGGATGGTGACAAGAACACATTGAGCGCTTTGAGGCTGCACTTAACAAGGCAGGTGGACGACTTCCAATCCCAGCAGAACAATTAGCTTTGGTTAACCAACGAAGGTCTGCCAAAAAGGCTAGGGAAGCAAAGACGAAACACAACTTATGCATCATTCTCGAGATTTTGATTTCTCCCCAAATTGTATCGATACATTATTCTCGAGATTTTGATTTCTCACCAGAACAACACGTTAGTAAAATACTGCATTGAGTTGTTTGGCTCTCAATAAAGATATCTTCACTGTGGGTTAGCTAAGGAAATACGATCTTCTTTCCAGAGTTGAAGATTTGCAGGACGCTTGGGTGGTTGAAATCCGCCGACGTTCAACCGGCAAAGCTGCAGGGCAGCTTTACAAACTGTACATCAGTCCCAAAGGTGAGCAAATGTAGACAAAGTTGCTTGGAGCAAAAACCCCCCACAGTGATAATATATGATTCAGTTGTGAGTTGGTTCTCATGGTGAACGATTGATGCCCATATTCGTTTTCAACATGCCTTTCTTTTTCCATTTATGTCTGGGATAGCAATTGACCTACCTGTTGCTGGTGAGCTACGTTTGTCCTAGCTGAGGGGAGCAGCGGAGAAAGGGAGTCGGACAAAATTGCTGCGATCCAGCAGAGTTTGGTCAAGGGTAAGGTCTCTGCCGAAGCTGTGCCCGAGGTTTCTCCCAAAAAGAAACCACAAAGGAAATCAAGAATGAAGAGGGTCAAGTCAAAGATGGGTAAGAAGCGCTCGTGAACTTTTCCTATAGGGTATACATGTGGATTCAACTGATATTTAAACATATCGGTTTCTTCAATCCGCGCACTCAATGCCAGGGTGGCACCAGCTGTTTGTGGTTGAAAGTATGGTGAAGTTAACGATTGAATTTGCAAATGTTGTTGAGCTTGGTGTCTTATGGCAATTTGTAATTTGTAGAGCTTCCGATCCTGCTTATCCTCTCCAACATCCCTTTGCCATCACCGGAGAGAGCTTGTAATTTTGCAATCTAGCTGAATTAGCAATAAGATTTTATGGAACCAAAAAACTTTGTTTTTCCACTATAGGTTGGCTTCCCAAGGTCACCACCATGATCTTATTGGGTTAAGGTAGAAGTGTGCAGTGGAGAAGGACAATTGAGTCGGGCACTATGGAGTCATGGATATACAGGAAAAGTTTTCGATGATACTTGGCAAATGCTTTGGGGTGTCCCAATCAATAATATAATATCAATGTGGGTTCAATATGTTCGACCGATTACTTGGTATTAGATCCTTGCATGTGTGCCACCCGACCCAGATCAACTACAGCTCGAACCACGACTTGCTCCGAACAATGGGATTCCTGGCAGTATTGATTGCTGCATCTTGGCCAACAGGGTTGAGATGGGAGGCTGTCACATGGAAAGCTGCCATCTCTTCAAGCTCTCTTCCACGGGGTAGACATGTCATCCAAGCCCACACTCAATACAGTGGGTGAGTTGGTGCATATTGTCCAGACTTTCTAGCCAGATTCCTTTCGTAGATCTTTCTGATACTTGTCCACGATGTTGATTCTCCGTAATTAATGTGCTTAGGTCAGAAACTGCCGGGTTGGCTCTATAGTTTTCTTTGCACCTCCATGCAATACATGGGTATTCCTGATGCCTGTCAGAATTAATTACAGAGAAGTTGTGTAATTCATGTGGTAGTAGGTCCAAAACCGGGATCCCAATGCTACCACCTCAGGAGTTCACCATCTACTGGAAGGACATGGCTGAATCCAGCCGGTCGCCCAACCAAAAAGGTGACTCTTGCAAATATATTTGTAATGCGTATGCTATACATGCTCCTTGGCCAAGTCATGACAATCAATTAAGATCGGCTCAGTCAGATTCAATGCATATGTAAGATTTCAAAATCTGCGTGTTCTTCATGCACCTTGTGTCTCTAAGACTATGGTATGCATACGAACGTGGCGTGCATTTCTTAATTGAACAGCCGCTGACGTCAGTGCCCCCCAAGTTTGATTTCAAGTTTCTGTTTCAATTTGATCTATGCATTGTTCATGAGAGAATGTATAGGTACTCTTTGACTGGGAGCCTGTGAAGAGAGAATGAATTTTAGTTGTTACTTGGTATTGAAGGAATCATATGTTGATTGAAACACTGTCCACCACTGGCAGGAAAGTAACATTTCCTATGGGATCTGACGGCAGCCCAACCATGAAGTATACAACGCTCCTGGTCTCAATTGTCAAATCCTTTCGGAAGGGTATCGGGGGTTACTTGGTCTCTTTCCCTTTCCCCTGTCTGAAACTGTCTCAGGATTTGGGGAACACTACCCAATATCGGCAGCCTTCGACTGCCCCTGGATGTGAAGCAGTTGAAGGCAGCCTTGGCAAGGAGACTGGGGGTGATAAATACGACGTCTTTGTCGAAGTAATTGAGCTTTGTCACAAAACCATGAATTGATTTAAGAAATCAAGTTGTTTTTGAATGGCATCAAGAATACCATGGCTATTGTATATAACCCAATGGGTGTGACCTGTTCCCTGGAGAACCCACACTCCGCTGGTGAAGAAATCGGTGGACAAGAACGGCAAGAAACGTGTGGCTACTGGTTAGCACTTCAAAGATTCCTGTTAATGTGGTAGGAATTGCCAAGACAATAAATTGCTATATTTTGGTTGACTGCAATTTTACAAAAGATATCACGTACTGTATGCCCTTAATTGTAATTGTGGATGCAGGGAATAAATGATCCTCATAATTGGGGTTAACTTGTCCCAGTGGCCTTTTCCCGTAGTGCGCTGCTCTTGCCACTGCCTAGGCTGGCATCAAGAAGGCACTTTCTCAAAGTGCTGTGTATCCCCGTGGCTTTGAGAATGCTGTGGCGTCCCTCTTGCAGCCGACACGTCGCCGTGCTACTGGTGATATTAATACTCGTGCCTGCTATCCAAGTGGGAATGATTTGGGTGCATTAGACGACCTCCTACAGGGTGGTCGCCACACTTGGTGGCGAAATGTGGGTTAAGGGTGATGGATGGGTGATGAAATTGATAGTAACTATAAGTTTCCAAGGGGTATTGGAAGTTAATTCAACCATAGACCCATCACGTGACGACCCACATGGATGAAGAACTTGGAACGGTGGCAAAAAAAGTTAAAACTATCATGGTCGATACTTTTCACTTGACATAATTTGGCTTCAGCATGGTTCCCAATTTAACTGCAGTATTGTGGCTACAGCGCTTGGGGTAATTGCTTTACGTTCCAAAAATGCCATACAAGTTAGTTGCCCTTCTCGAAGCTATGAAATATGTCCGGCTATGTCTTTGCTGTTGGATGGGACCAACTTCAAATTGGCTCGAAAGGATCCCCAAACCAAGTGGTTCGGGTTTGATACAATTTTTGTTTCACAACCACCATGGGCATGATAACACTACCTATCCTCCCGCAGGACTGATCACATGAATCTGAAAGCGATTTGTCGAGATTACAAGTGTGAGGATCTAGCCATAGCTGCCGAACTGGCAGATGAGAAGAGGCTTCAACATGAAGCGAAGGTGGATCTGAAACTAGGACACCAAAGGGACCATGAGGAACTTAAACTCTGAGTCACCGTATAATGAAAAAGTGTTTTTCGGCACTTGCATTTTATAATTAGGTCAAAGTAGATACCTAGGATTTGCACTTCCGGGAGTCCTGGTCAATGGAAGATAACTATGGATATTTTCTCTCGATAGGGAATTGGAATTATAGATCAATCTTTTGTTTTGATTTTCAGAATGTGCACCCGGAAGCATCACTGATAGGGCTCCATGCCGCACGGTTTTTCGGAACAATCGCATTGATGAATTTTGTCCGTGTCAACAGCTCTGAATTTTTAAAGTGTAAAATGTGGAGTGTAGAGTGTGGAGGGTCACCGCATGTCACAACATGCCACACTTGCCACGGAGTTTGCACGTTGTCACCAATTGACGCAGCCAGAAGCCACAATCGTGAAGATGAAAATGGGCTGAAGCCAAACGCAGGCAATGAAATTGACAGGAATGGATGTAGATTGACTTCCTGACTTTGTGCAAAATGATTTAAAAAGTATTGAACAAACAAAACAAACCAAAGGGAGGCCCATCGCAAGTTGCGATTACAGGAAAACGAAGGATGGGGGCCGAAACTATGGCGGGCAGGCCGAACTCGATACTGGAGACATTTGAGGTTTTGGATCGGCAACTAGAATCCGAGTAATGGACCAAGGATAGCCTTCCTGCCTTCAAGAGTGTCTGAGACACAGGTCGAGCCCGAAAAGAAAGTTGGCTTTTGTCGAGTCGCATGCATCTGTTTCTTTGACTTGCACTGCAAGTGACTGCATTTCTACCGCCAGCTGTTCCTTTGGAACCTGCGCGTACAGAGACGTTGTCGACATCTCAGCTCAGAAAGAAGGCTCCCAGGAGCCAAGCTACCTTGGCCGGGGAATATAAGGATGGGATGACATGGATGGTTCAGTATGGCAGCACCGCATCGTTACAAAAATGGTGCTGCTCTGCCGAAGATACCACGGCAGTCGTCATTCGGATCGCCACATTGGTGATAGGGTCGATGCGATCCTCCTGCGCCAAACGCGAAACGACTTAAATGGAATTGGCCTGCCGCATGCTCTATCGGAAGGGACCGCTCCGAACATTATTGGAGTCAGCCGAGGATTAGATTGATTAGAGACATTGCTCAAGTTACCAATTGGGACAAACCATGACCTAAGCCATCAGCCATGACGTGGTTGATCTTGTTGGCCCAACTTGCACTGAGGCTCTGACGATGGTGACGACCCAGTAATTCACTGAAGGCTCCAAGCCCAAAGAGTTGCGAATCCTGGCTATGACCTGGCGACGAAATTGGCCCATCTTGCTACGCCGTTGCTCACCCGCTATAACCCGTTATAACCCTGTCAAACCTGGTGTTCCAGGGCCTAATTTGAAATTTGACAGTGTCAGCACCAGCAGTAAACTCAGAATACAAGGATCTACAAGGTATCTGACGGTGCGAAAGGTATGGGTCCATAGTTCAATTGGCCGGCAGCACGGCCAGCCCCTTGACTTCTTCTGTCATCCGCAGGTCCACCAAAGAAATGTTGTAAACAGTTTCGTCGCAGCCTCATGGTCCACCAAACAGGCCTTCCACTTTTCACCCAGCTATCACCTGCAAATTTTAAATTTTACTCCAGCTATCCGCAAGATCCCACTTGAACATGTAAATATGTGAAAATAAGTTAAAAGGGCACGCTTGAAAAGGAACATCAGGAGCCTACCGCCGCAGAAGTCGGACATCTTTTGCAACCCTCTGAAGCTTGCAAGAAGTCCCAAGCCACAGTCATCAACACATGTAACAAGGGAAAAACCTTACAACCTGATCGCCCCGACTGTGCTCGGGACACAGGATCTGATCTGTGGCGTCTTTGATTGCGACTGAAGTCAAGGCCTCAGGGCGCGATGATGCGATGCTGAGCTTTGACCTTCTCAAGTCCCCCCATTCCGTGAGATCTGTGGCCGCTGCGGCTGTGGCCCTGACGTTTCCCAAGGTGCGGTTGCACGAGTCCACGAAGTACACATCGTAGCTATCGATCTGCAGTCATGCAGTCATGCAGTCATGCTGGCACGCCTTGATCACATCTGTCATTTTCTCATATTTTCCTCTTCATTTTTCTTCATTTTCTAATGTCCTGCTTTGTGAAGATTTCTTTGGCCTCATCCTCGTAAATGGTGCCCTTGCCACTGAATCTCAATGGCGTGTTGGATCGGAAGTCCCGAGCCTGCCAAAACACAGAAGTAATTCTTGGCCCTAAGCAAAACCAGAACTGCATCCCAATTCTCTCCTGTGTTATAAAACACGTTAGACACATTTGATTTGATACTTTCCCCCCGGTTTCTCCCAATTATCATCAAATAGCTAGGAGAAAAATGCAGAACATACTTCTTCAATCTTCTTCATCACTTTCCTGAAGGATTTCCTCGTCGCCACTGAGGGCATCGTTTCGTGGCCTGTCCGGCATTGAGCATGGTGTCCAGCTGAGCACGGCCAAAGGAGATGTTTCCTGCGATGAAACCTGCGAAGGTTTGAAACATTTCGAACCGAGGGAAGGATAATGATGGACAATACACAGATATGCACAGTATAATTATGGGTAATCAGGCTAAACGCATGGACTGATACATAGTGGACAGCGAAAAATGAAAACAAAAAGACAATTTCTGAATTCCAAGGCTGTATGATGAAGCGATCTGGCCTCCGCGACCATCTTCATCCTGACGTGCTTCAAAGCTTGAACGCAACCCTTTTGCGCTGGTGACATTCCCAGAGGTCGATCCAAATCATCACATATTCCGAAATTCCCATGAATGCAAAGGAACAATCTTTGCAAGGAACATACAGCGAGTTTCTTTTCAAACACACCTCTTTCAAAGTGGCCAGCCTATTTCAACTGATTGAAGGATGTACCGATTTACCCAGAGTCTCACAGCACGCCGTGCTCTCCTGGAAGTTGCCAACTTTGCAGGGCACCGGCGGTGCGCAGCCCACTGGATACCTCAGCCGTAAGAGCCACAAGGAGTCGCTTCAGAACGAGCAGCACCATGTCACAGCTGCAATGCATGGCACATTATGGCAACAATAATATTGTAAACTTCCATGGCACCAAGGGTGGGATGAAGACAAGATACGTAGTGGTTCGGCACCCTGCTTGCATTTCTGGCAGGAACTGGTTCATGAGAGGCTGTGACTCACTGTGTCCCTTCTCGAATGACTTACAGTACCTGTGACCTCGAACCAAATGAGGTGAACCAAAGGTGTAAGCAATCTTGATTGTCCCTACACTAAAAGGATACCAGCAAAGTCTCTTGATCATCTTGTGATCACTCTGCTTTCACTCTGCTTTGCTTGTGGCCAGAAATCTCTCCATCTTGACAGCGGCAAAATTTAGCCAAAGTTTCGGCATACTGTTTGGATGCGCCCTGCGTATCCCACTCCACAGCGATACCCTTCGTACGTACCTTAGACCGCAAGGCTACTTCGATGCTGTTTTGATCTGGTGAAGAACTGTGATGAGACGGACTACCCTGGGTAGATATTTACTTCCAAAAAGTTGAATGTCGATGACTGGACGTGTTGGCCACGCAGCGCCGACTTTTTTGGAGCACTTCAACAAACGTACCACAAAACTTCGCTTTCATGTCATCCTGTCAAAAGAGGCCGCATGATGGAGCAAGGGCAGCAAGGGCCTATTCCAAACTGGATGATTTGAAGATTTGGAGAGGAAAAGGAGGAGCAGTAACTGGCTCAAGAAACCCCTGCAACCACAGGGCTGAGGAAAACCGAAGACTCCGTTGACATGAGCAACGCTTTGACACTGATTTCGTTGAATAGCCCATTGCAATTTTCAATCCATTTTGCGGGCACCTGAAAACCTTTTCGAACCACATTGCCAGCATTTCAGGACACAATCTTGGCTTGCAACAGCAACGCCCCAAACAGGACCACACAACTGCAACATGGGCTCGCTCAGGCTTCCATCAACCCAAGGCCCTCCAATCCCACAAGCCCGGGATTCTCTCAAGGGTTCCCAACCTGGTGACTCAATAGCCCTATTGTTTTCCCACATCCCCTTGCGTCATTGTCCGGTAGAAACCAAGCACGATTAGCTACGAGATTAGCTATGAGACATCCGTGGCACCTGCCAAACTTGCAACCCAGCCACTCGAAAAGCCAGTGTCTAAGGGGATCGGGTCAAAGTTCGATGGCAGCGTACCTGCGATGTGCTTCTAAGAGTTCCAAGGGTCCACTATGATCCACTTGGCTGTGCTCAATCTTGGACCAAGACAACACCAAGAGCTTTCACTCCACCTTTGGACTCTGCTGCATCAAAATTTCAGCATGTCCGGAAAGCAAGTTCATAACTCATAACTGTTGTCTGAGTGTTACTTGCTTTTCTTGGTGTCTATGTCAAAGTGGAATGGGCGGACATATAGGGCTTCGGAAGAGCAAGCCGTCTGGCTCCGTGTTCCTCACCTAGCGAGCACGACATGCCAGGCCAAACCGAATCCATCGAATATCCATGATCGAAGCACTATGAGAAAACCATAGGAGCCATGGATATATCTGGATTGTTATCCTGAAGCTTTGCCCTCTACTGACGTGTTCAAAGTTTTCAACATGCAAAGACGCGGTTTTCACTGAGCGCCCGACAGAACACGAGGCAACGGTTTGAGCTCCAACGAATGGTGGGCGACACGACCTGAGCGCAGGAAGCATCATGAACCCCTTGACGAATCAGTTATGTTTCCCGTTATCAACTGTTATCAACTTGGGTTGTTGAGTTTTCTCCCACTATAGTTGGGACATGTCCCCTTTATCCCGTTTCAACATGTTTCTTCCAAGGCGCAATGTGCAGCGGCTTCCAGGCCGAATGCTGCCACATCGTGAGTCATCCACACCTGCCGATGGTAAGATGATCAGCCACCAGGGCCATCATGGAATGTGAAAGATGCTGACCCAATATGCAACTGTCTTTAGGTCGGGTGAAACATGGTGACCAGGAATACAGCACAGGTGGAAAAATTGCAATTTTCCCTCCGGAAAAGCCGTACTCCAAGATCTCCAAGCTTGAAACACAATTTTCAGCAGATTGCGACCGTTTTCCCCATGGTATCTATATGTATCTATATCTGATCTGCAGGTTCTGAGGCTCAGGCGACAGGTGTCCACCACTGGAGCTCGGCAGGCAATGATGGGCAAGCAGCCCGACAGGAAGGCCTCATTCTCATGTCATAATTTGATCTCGGACATATTTCAATCTCAATCAACTATCAATCAACTGAATGGGAGATCATGGAATCTTAAAACATTTCGCTTATCTTTGGTGAGGTCCCCAGCCACCACTCCACAGGTGGCGTTGCCACTGCAGACGCGTTCTGCGATGCCAACATATCCGGGAGCACAATACCAGCCTCAGCCGGACGCATTCGGACGCCCAATATTGGACCTGTCACGAAATATACATTGACATCCCATCATATCAAGCCCGCAAAAGTCAATTAAATCTGGGAGCGTTCAATCATTGTCCATTTTGTTGAAGTTAGTCACCCATAAGTCGACTGGAATGATTGTGGAAAACCAGCGGACATAACCAACAAGTGGGACTTCCAGCTAAAATCCATCGGATTTTGATGTGCTCCAACCTGTTGGGCTTTGCTGTAAAGCAACGTGGTATTCCGTGTCCCACTGCCACCGGATCGTTTTCATTGATGCCGAAGGCATAGCCTGCAGGGACCTTAGCACCCAGCAACCAGCAACCCTCTGCAAATGGCGGAGGGTTGATATGGTTGATAGGAAAATCAGAAGATTTTCCGAGGATTTGGTGAGATTTGTTACCGAAAGGGACATTTTGGTCACCAAGTCACCGGAGATGGATCCTCACATTCAAACACCGAGCAGTTCCTTGGAGTCGGAGTCCGATCGTGGCAGAAACCAACAAAAATGGCTGTTGCACTGATCAGTCGTGTCTTGCTATGGCAATTCAACAGCGGAAATCGACCGAAACATATCGAAACATTGCCATGCGATGCTGAGACTACTTGGAGCCCAGCGGAAATTGCAGCCACTGGAGTTCCGTGTCTGGCAGCAGGTTATTCTCCGGACATCGCGCCAGCGCTGCCGGGCCGTACAACTCAAAAGGCCTGCGGTCGGAACTTCTGTCGGGGGAGCGACAGCAGCCCCAATAGCGACGTCTCTGTTGAAAAAAAGGGTTTAGTTGGACGATTCCTAAGCAAAACTCAATTCCAAAATGTTTAGTTGGACTTTTTCCAATTCAACAATCCAAAGTGGGTAAAGTGGTAAGTTGAATAGGACGTCGATGTTTCTACAGCGGGCGACCCCCCGACATTTGTGCTGAGGCAGCCGACTGGATACAACGCGGTCGGCAGGACTCCCCAGGCATCACATCCCTGGCAGTCGCTGCTGCAGCGTCAAATCACAGACTAACGCGTTCCATCTGCAAAGTAAGAACCCCCAAAAAAGATACCATTTCAATAACCATAACATAAGATTGATCAATTCAACTTAATTCCATTCCATCATTCTGTAGTCATTGAATGCGGGCGCAACTTGGATGGACATCAATCGCCACATGTGTTGAATGGTGTTTCGGCTCCTGCATGACGTCATATTGACCCTGCACGGGTCCACCGGTGGCAGCAAACCTGAGTGGCAAATCATCCTACATCGTCAATGATCAAGGCGTGACCAGGGCTTCAGAATAGATCTTCAAAGATAGAAACCAACTACGATCTGAAAACACCGAAGCCCAAATAAACATGCTAAGGGAATAGTAACAACCAGTAACCAGAATGCCAAATATCTGTATATATATATATATGTGTATTGTAATCTCCTTACGGCAATGAACTTAGTGGGATCAACATGGACCATTTGAAATTTGATCCCCATTGATTTCCACTCATGGCATCACTATGCATCACTTTACAGATCGACATCCTGAGACTCTGGACATGGCATCAGCTTCTGACAGCCTGAGACGAAGGTCGTGACCTCCAGAAAGTTGTGGAACAGTTGCCACGGAGGTCGTTTTTCGGTGCTTTCATTCGTGAATACTCGTGATGCGCGGCAATGTCTATGTTCGTTTGTTTCTGTTTGTTTCTGTCTATTTCATCTGTGGTTTTGCCAAATGTTTACTTTGTTTCCAACTGCCAAACAACATCTGGACATTTTCTGTTTTCTTTTGCATCTTTGTTGTTTCCGTTGCTTCTGTGAACAATTGCTGGAAAGTTATCTGTGGGTCTCGCCTCGCACGTCATGTTATTGACGATGCAAACCGTGGATGCAGGGCCAAGATAACCTGACAAACAAGAAACAAGACAAATCTTCCAGAAGAACCCAAGGAGGCAAAACAAAACACTAAAGACATCTGAATGTCCTCTGAGACGAAGGTGCAAAAACATGCAAAAAGTGAAATATGGGATCTTGGGTTCAAGAAAACATATTATGAATATGACATTGCTCTTTCAAACAAAGTGAGTGTTCCTCTTAAACTCTACTGAATGCTTCTTTCAAACTCAGCCATGGGATAGTTTTAATTTGCAACAAGTTTAGACATGCATTTCCAAAGTCCGAGGTCTTTTTCAATCTTTTCTGGGTGAAATATGATAATCAATTGGGATATCTTTATAAATAAATTGAACCAGGCTCAAATGACATGAGCGACCCGATGTCTTGTGGCCGAAGCGCCTTCTTTGCAGCTGGCAGTTCTGGTTGCTTCATCCCACACAAAGCCATCTGGCATGGGATTTGGCGCCGGACAGCGGAGCTCGCACCTGGAGATGCTGTGGCTGGGTGATGGGCAGAACACGGGACTGAAATGAGAAATCCCAAATCTGTCTATCCATCCCAAATCTAAAATCGATCTATCTATCCATCTATCTATCTATCAAACTAATCTATCCAACCTTATCTATCTAATTCTTACCTATCTAATCATACCGATGCAATTTTATCTATCTAATCTTCACTAGCCAATCTATTTACCTGTCTACCTATCTACCTACCTACCTATCTATATATCTATCTTTCTATGTATGCATATGTATGTATGTATCTAGCTATGTATCAATCTAACGAACTAACTAATCATATTCATCTAGTCTTATCTATCTAATCTTAACAATGTAATCTGATCTAATCTAGTCTATCTAGTCTTATCTAAGCTTATCTATCTAATCTTGTCCATCTAATATTGTCTATCTAAGCCTATCTATCTAATCTTGTCCATTTAATCTTATATTATCTATCTAATCTTAATCTTATCTATCTAACCTTGTCGATCTAATCTTATCTATCTGATTTTACCTGTCTAGTCATATCTATCTCATCTCATCTATCTAAGCTTATCTAATCTTATCTATCTAATCTTGTCTATCTAATCTAATCGAATCGAATCAAATCTAATCTAATCTATCCATCTATCCATCTATCTATCTATCTATCTGGGGTATATGTCGCACTCATTTGGACAATAGGGCACAACCCGTTGAAAAACATGGGGTACAAGTACGGTATGAGATGGCTAAGCATTATGATATCAACATATATCAACGTCATTTGCCTCACTCAACCAACTATCCTCCAAACTGCAATCAATGAGCCAATGTTCCTAACAGGACATAACAGGGCTGAAATGTGGCTGCAAATCGATAAGATTGATAAGTTGGAAAGGCCACGGGAAACACCTGTTTCCTTTGAGGCTTCCACGTTGGATGCGTCCATGTCACAGTGCGCATTGGATCAACCTGAGGCGGACTCTGTCATGGAACAGTGACGGCATCGATGGATGACACACATAACACATATTGACACATTAGACACTGGTCATTTGATGTCATCTGTAAAATCAAGCCAAATCTTTGTGAATCGCTGTCATTTGACAGTAGCTGTCCTCACCAAAAGGAAAGTTTGCCTCAAGTTACGGAGTGACAACATATGGCAACTTTGATTTTTGCGGCAAGATGCATTGTTGTCGGGGCAGGTTCCCAATGTACTTTCGATCTGGCAGGAATTGGGAAATGCAGGGCCTATGGAATGCCACAAGCGACTCTCTTAAACTCTGACGGAGAAACGATGCAATACCGATGCAACTCAGCCAGGAAGACGCTTGTCCACGGCTGGCGGCAGGTGACGAAGCACGTTCCACCTGCGCGACCAACACGGTTGCCACTAGATGCCATACTGATCACCTGAAACTTCCGATTTTGAACCTACAATAGTTGAGCACAATTTTCACATGCAACACCCACAATGTCACTAATCTTCACTCCCATGTGCCTGGTTGAACATCGGTGCCTCAAACAGTAGCATACAGTGAGCTTTGAAAATGACGATGGCTGGGCTGCAATGGTTCCAGGGCTGATGACAAACGGACCATGACGGATCGATTCCACAGGACTGCTATGGTGGAGCTACCAGTCCCGGTCGTGTACTCCTTGTTCCATGTCTTTCTCGTCTTTCTCATAACTTGTTGATGCCGTTGTTGCAGGTGGTCATCGATGTGAAAGTGATGTGGAGATAATGAAGAAAACGCTCACGCAATTGATGAAGAAAAACGATGAAATGACTTTGAACATGACGATGGTTGACGATGGTTGACGATGGTGATCAGCAACATACTGTAGTGGATCATGCAAACCAAGCCAAACAAATTGATGCCACTGACCACGAAATGAACAAGGACGCTGCTGTGTCGACTATGGCCAATGACAACGACAATTGACACGACTGAGGAGGGTGAGGAGAATGGACTTGAGGGGGCTCCGGGCTTTTAATTTTTATAGGAATAAACGGACTTTGGCTTCAGCTATTGCTTCAACTGAAACATACTGAATCTCCAGCAACTGATGCTACCATTCATGAACTTACTATCAATGTTCGTCATTCACTCAAATGTAAACTCTCAATTTCGGATGGTAAAGACCGGGGCATGTCTCGGTAATTTTTGTAGTTTTTCCCGTCCCACGGCAAACAAACCTGAGGTGCCCGGGCAATCCGAGACGTCTTGGTCGCAAGAGGTGGGTGTCAAGTCGCGGCAGGGCTCCAGTTTCTGCCGAAAACAGAGGAGCTACGGACTGATTGGCACAGTATAAAGCAGTCAAGATTGGTGCACGGTTTGGTGAACTCGAGAGCTGCTGTTACTTTAGTTTATGTTCTTTTCTTCGGGCTCCGAAGATCAAGCAGAACCAAGTCCAAGACCTTTCAAAACAAGGACTCCTTAGATATTGCAAGAATGTTTGATTGATAGTCAACATTTTCATCAAATAGTGGGGCCTCTTTGGAAATCATTGATAGGCAGATTTGTTGCCCTGCGCCTCACAGCCCACCAGCTCAGAGTCTGCGATGCACGTCTGGCAGGGTGAAAAACGAGTGGTCAAAAGATACGTCGACCAAGGAAATCTGATTCGGCATACCTCGGCATACCTCACATGGATCGATTCCGTCTCAGGCTTCATCTTCACCCACTCTGAGAAGATCTAGTTTGTCTTACCTATATAGCTACTGCCTATATCTGCCATGAAGCACGTCTCGATCTTCCATGAACTTTCTACATGTTCCCTCAAAACGACCTCAGTTTCCATCCAGATCAGCGCCTCGCCCACTCGACAGCGCGCTTCGGCCGTGCCGGCATAGCCCTGCCAGTGGCAGTTTCCAAAATGGATGAACCAATTGAAACCTTTGGAAATATGGACGGATGAAACTTGATGAAACCACATGAAACCGTAAAACATGGAATGATCTGAGGGTTTGGCTGGGTCGCAGGACCACTGGCCGAAAATGTCTTGAGAATATCCATCTGGAATCACCTCAGGCGCAGAACCTGGAGGCTCCTGGTGCCGTTTCTTTGACGAACCGCACAACTCAGGTGGGAACCGGCGGATCCGAACAAAGACATGATATCCTCAGCTGAAACTGTGACAGTCACCAACTGAAACAGAGTGACACACAGCACATCAAATTTAATCAAGCGAGATCCATTTCTTGAATCATCAATCCTAATTGCAATCAACTAAGCAATCAACTCATGTACCCGACCAGCATCAACCATGAATCAACAACTCAACTATTTCCCAGATATTTCTCGTTCATTTGGACATATTTCGACCATGAAGAAAACCTGTGATTCCACCATAACCCTGATGACCCTGAGGCGGTGTCAGGTCAAACTCCAACGGCGTGGTGGGATCCGTGTTGCCCGCAGGGCACGATGCCAAGGACGACGGACCGAAGAAGGGTGGTTTGCATCCGATGGAACATGATCCTCCAGCCTGGCCGAAATGTGTTAACGAAATTTCATGATGTGAATGCATGATGATATTGAATCTAAAAATGATGGTGTAAATGATGACACAACATGTACATATAGGTAAATATATATATATATATAGATACAGATGGTGTACATATTATGTATATATATATATACATACATAGGTATATATATATGTGTATGTTTACTCTGTTGCCATCTGTCTTCATCGGTTTTCGAAACAGCCAACTCCAGGGCCTCCACATCCCAACATCCCTTGGCGATGCCACGGCGTGCGGCTGAAAACTCATCTGAATCAACCGACCCATGACAGGTGGATGAAATTTGATCAGAATGTGTCATGGTCAACTGAGTTATACCGGATTCAATTCACGTATTGTCATATCATATATGGTTATATCGTATTGTCATGTCTCAGTTATATCGTATTGTCATGTCTCACCTAGATATAGAGCTGATAGAGTTTTCTACCACATCACATACCCAATATCTACCAATCTAAGGCTGTCCCATGCTTCAGTTGCTGGGTACAAAATGTCAGCCAAACAAATCAACGATTACCCATCGCATTCCATCGCTATCAGTTTTGCTTCAATTACCTTCGCTTCATATCATTCCACCCTTTTAAATTCACCAGCCACTTTTGCAAAATGCAGACAAAGCCTGATAAAAGAAGTCACTGGGCTGCTATGGGAATTGCTCTTGGTTTTCCAGATTTCCTGGAACTAGTTTGTTTGGGAACGGTCCCAGAAAACACCAGGTTGGTACTGCAACTGCAACAAAGTACATATTTTCCGGTGGAGTTTTGCTTTACAAAATTGCATTCCATCGAACACACCAAATTCAAAGATCTGATTTTCCAGGATTTTCCCACAAAAAAGCACAGTGTTGGTTTACATCCCGTCTCTAAAGTTGCGTTGCCATGTTTTCCCACCAATTTGCTGGGTTTTCAGGTCCATCTTTACCAACCAACGACGTTGTGCATTGTGCCCAGCGGCCAAGTTGTCGCGTTCGCAGGGCTCGATCTTCAGTGGTGAGCACTTCACAGGTTTCACGCAGCCCGTCAGCTCTAAGACCTGGAAACCGGACTGGATGAGGATGGGTTTGCTGGGTTGCTGGGTTTGATGGGTTTGATGGGTTTGATGGGGTTGGTGTGTGACATAGATGTGATGTGATGTGACTTGTGTCCCTAGTGGCTGAACGATTCTGTATTAAAAATGGTGATTGGATATGTCATGTATTACGATCTTGTAATTCAAGAAACATCAAGAAACTTAAAAGTATGACACTTATATCTCCTAAGATGTGGCGATATCCATGCGTGATTGGCTGGCAGGTGTTGGCAGAAACATGGTACATCTCCATTACTTGGGGGGATCCGCCAAATAGTGATGCCAAATGGTGATAATTCTGGATACTAATATATATATTAATACATGCTCATTGATGTTCATTGTGGGACTCACCAATTCGTCACCTGTGCATTAAACCTGGGACATTCAACTTGAAACATCGACTGAAACCCCGCCTTGTTGCACTGTGCGTCGTGGCCACATCGATGTGACACGAAGGATCCTTAGTATGCTGAACATTCCGAGGTCTGTAATCCTTAAATCTATCTCTGGATTGAATACGTGTACTGAACATGGGAAAATTGGGAATTAGTATTGGTTTGGTACTGGAATTTGGTTAGTCTTTTTTTTTTCCTCAAATAGACCCCTCACATTGAATAGATCCAGTACCACACCTGGGTTTTGATTGGTATTGTATTGGGGGCGTATTCTTTTTATGCAGCTTTACAATCCATTGAAGAGTTGATGTCGAAATCCAAAGGCGACAGTTCCAACCCTCCGAAAACATCCATTCATGGGATCATCCAATTTCATCGTCGGTGCCATATCAACTCCTGGAAACCACTGACTAAGACTAAGACGACTGACTCATGGAAACATATGGAAACAACACGTTCCCGGAATGCGAAACACCCATCTTTGAAGGGCTGCAGTGAATCAAAACTTGAATCCCTCGGAGAGTGGCCCACATAGTCATCTTCACAGACCACGTCGCGGCCGTCCAACTTGTAGCCTGGCAAAATTGGCAAATCAAAACAGAATCCGTCGCCTTGAGATACTGCAACTTGCAGTAACTGTATGGTTTGTTCCAAAATGTAGGACATTTGCAAAATTAGATGATGAATTATAGGCTTTGGCCCATCCCTAAGTCCCATGCTGAGACTCAGATTAGTGGACCACGGAATGTACTGTTTACTAAGGATGCACTTCCTGAAAATGAAGCACAGAAGCCTGTTGGCAGTACCGCCGGCAAGGGACAGTCGATTTCCTGCAAGGATTCTGCAGAACTCTCCAAACGTGACAATTTTTTTGATCCAAATGTGGTAAAACCCACAATAAAAGAACCCTCAGATGCCCACATTGGGTCAATTGGGCTTTAAACATTACCCAGTCAATAGATCATGGATCATATGGATCTACAATATCCAGCTGACACGGCGCGCTCCTCCGCTACGCAGCGGGGAGCCGTGAATTTCAGGCCATTGTCTTGCACATTGCCTGAATGGATGAATGGATGGGAAGAACTCTGGAAAATATGCGAACTGTTAACTTGTAACCCTCAAATAAGCAAAAACATCTTGTAGTGGTTGGGAACACGTCTCACATGACTCACATATATAACAAAACATCGTGCAAGTGTTTGTATGGACAGTTCATCAACCGAAATATGGCAGTCTTTGTCTTGCACCGAACTGTATTCCAATTCGCAAGACTCCCTGCCTTCAGGACACGTTGCCTCCACTGGCCTTGTCGCGAACAGAACTGCGAAGCTGGGGGACATTGGTCGGGGTTCATCTTTGAGGATTTCAGGATCTAATTCTCACAACCACATCAGCATAGATTCACACTCCAACCTGAACCAACATCAAATCTACGGGATGAAAAGGACAAAGCTCTATAGATATCAACATTCAACCATTATCATAAACATATGATGTTTGATAACCCATGATAAACTGCTATATAAACAACAATTTTCATGACATCAACATGACATCACGACCGAAGCCGGGGCTTTGAGCTGCCCGGCTGCCCTGCATAGTTCCCAGCACAGCCGATGACACAACTGGAGTTGGGCGCTACGCTGAGGCAGTCGGAGACCTCGCTTTGCAAGGAGGCCCAACCGGTTGACTCGCTTGACTTGCCATATGAAGGGAATATAGCCATGTATAGCCATATATAATCATACATAATCATATATAATCATATATATAGCATTATATAGCTATATTATGCACCATTCACAAACCAAAATCGGATATCAAAAGAATACCAATTGGAGATGATCCTTAAGAAAGAGTTGAGAGTTGAGAGTTGATTGTTCTTAGGAGGTGAGCCACTGAGCCACGCAAGTCAAATCAAGTCAAATCTTGTCAACGAGCAGAACACGCAATGGGGACATCTGGGGACATCTCAGTTTTATCTCGTTAGAAAAACTTTGAAAACAACGAGATGCCAGGGACAGTTACAACGTTACAACGTTACATTACCTCAACATCCACCTGTTACTTACATTACCTACATTACCGTTGCTGCCCAGGGACGTCGTACTGGCAGAGGTCCAATGGAGGCGCCAGGCAAGGCCTCGAAACAACTGACCATGAAAATCCCATGGTTTTACGTTGTTTATAGCATGGGAAAGGTTTTTTCATGTTAACAAATGATAGTTTTGATGATTTCATTTCCATGTTTTTTTCATCGAAATTGCCGACATCGCCTGGTCGAAGGAATGCAGCCTTCAAACTTCTTCATCGAGTCGCAGCTTTCATCCAACCTAAGCCATCAAAAAAACTGCAATCAAAATGCCAATTTTCTATAATGCCAACATGATCAACATGGATCAACATGATCAACATGTGCGTCAGCTAAAACATTAAAACATTGGTCATGTGAATCTGATACCTTTTTTCATATCTACGATCAAGTTCAGATATTACCTCAGTACGCGCGCTTCAAATAGGAGATCCGGTGAGTCTCCAGCTCACAAAAGACATTGGCCGTGCCATTGAACCGATCCTTGAAACAGCAATGCAGCGCGAGAAATGACAATAAACAGTTCCTATACACCACTCAAACCAATTAGGTTTAACAGTTTTCAAAATCGTTGAGTTGGTTAGGAAACACATGGAAACACCTTCACAAGTTGCCCGGCTGTCCTCTCTGTCACATCGCCAGTCTGCAGCGAGCAATGGGATGAATTGCAGTTGGGCTTTGCACACAACGACGAACAGAATTTGAGCAAAGAAACTGTCAGAAAACCAGAGAAAACATGGATATGAATAATGATCATATTATGAAAAGATAGTCAATTTCAGTCAATCATACAACCAACCAAACAACAACAAGCGTTTACATCGGTGACTTCAGCACAACAAAATTGCTTGAACACTATCACTATGCCCTGGCCTTCTCCCCTCTTCTGATATCCAGGATGCACTGGGGGATCTTTACCTTGCGACGGGATCAACGGATCATGGTACCATCCATTCCTTGATATAGATGGGTTCTTTTTGAACGCCCTCACTTTGGTTGAGTCTTACGAGTTCAATCCGTTTGATGTGTTTGAAGAGCCCTTTGCTGCATGCAATTCGTTACTTCCAGAAGTTGTTCACCATTAAATTTCAGAAGTCTACCTTATCCTTCATCAATAAGTTGTCAATCAGTTTATCATCCCTAGCTGCTATAGCTTTCTGCCTATCCCGGATCATCCTGAGGTGGCTGCAGCCAAGAACACAGGGCTCCACTGGCATCCTCAGCTGCTCAGCTGCACAGCTGCCGCGATGAGTTGCTGGGTTCTCCGGTATTTGGGTGCCCCGGACGTCAAGACCTGGTTGAGGATCAGGTTTTCGGCCGGGCAGGAGGCAATACCTTGGGCAAATGCAGCAAAAAATGCATCCAGGTTTCAGGTTTAATATTAAAATATGTTTTAAGTGATAAGTTTTCCATGACTGTTGGATGATTTTGATTTTGAAATGATGTAGGAAAATTATGCCAGATACTCTTGGATAAAACATCAAGAACCGAGCTCCGATTTCCGGAAATGGTTCGATAATTAAGGTTCCCGACTTGGAGCTCCCACAAAGGGTGGCACACAACGGACCTGC